CATGGCAACAATACTGTCATCAGTTCAAAAGAGATACTAAACTTTTATAGACAAATCGTGTTACTTAATGACGCTTTTTAGTAGTTTATCGACAGAAGTATAATGTTTCTCGATAAAACAAGCTTGTGAAAGTAGTCATGCATACAAAATGCAATATAGATTAAATAAGCTATTACGAAGAATAAACAACTAGAAACTTAACATTTTCTAATGTTTAGATTCACTATTAGTTTCATACGATGCATAAAGGTCGTAAATAGTAATTATAACATGAATGAATCGAGACCTGGCAGATCAATTTCTAATTGTAATACAATGCTTGTCCTTCGATTTCATATACTGTAACTTATTTATCATATGTCTGTTGCAAGTAAACATCTAAGTAAGTTTTTCGAGACGATAAGAAACATAACTTATATTATCGGTCTGTTAATTTCTAATCATTTATAGTTTTCTCCCTGTTCTATTTGCGTATGCCAATTAATCCTGTATTAAAACATAATATTCGCAAACATCAATTCACATGAACCAGAGCTGTTCTCCATATACACCCTGAAAAATAACGGGATAAAAGATATGCAATTTCCTTATATATATTACATCATTTTTAGATTCATGGATATGTGTTTAGAGTTTGTAGTAATCAGAGTTCAGCCTTCTGCTTTCCGAATCCCATCTGCTGTGCAAGGCTAATACGCAGACAAATGTAACAATCCTTCAAGAAGACATACGATATATTTATTTATAGTTTACGATTACACTACGGAGTGAAATATAAATTGAACAAAATCATTGGCTATTTTTCAAGATGATGACCTTGATGATGATCTATATTTGAATAAAAAAAACAACCACGAATTCTACTATCAAAAATATGAATTTTTACAACAATGATAGAGTTTTAAACGAAAACGAGCTTTAGTTCTAAGATAATTTGAAATGTGTGGAATTGAAACCATTATTTTCACCATAGAAACTTCAATTCACACAATAGTAAATATTCATTTGATAACCATATGTTAATTTTATCCATAAACAATGAGAACGAAATCTTTTTTCTTAGAAGATAATCTTTATTCAAGTACTTTTCTATTTTGTGTACAGATTTATCTTTATGTATCTGATAGATTTAATAGATCATCTCGTTTAACATCAACAGAATGCTATGATGAAAAAACTAATCTATAAACTGTTGGTGAAGGCATCACAGTTGTCAGATCTAAGAAGCAAGAAAAGTTACTAGAATTTTAATATTTTTTCAATGTCTTCTGAATCTTAGTACTTCTTTTTTCATTTTTTCCGAGTTCTGAACTTTTTTCGATCACAGCTTCGCTAAAGTGTTGACGTAGGTGGGTACAGGCATTCGCTTCATCCACACATTTCTTCGTCATAAAACATTTTCGAAAAATTAAACATTATGAACAATGATATCAAATTTATATTATACAATCGTTATCTATTCCTTCTGTAAGATCGCTTAATCTGCATAGTATATATATGATTGCTTTTGTGCTTCCTCTGTGAAGGAATTTAGAATTTAGTACTCTTTTTGTTTCTTTTTTTGTATTAACTAAACAATATATTCATTTTATTGTCTGTCTTTATAGTTGACATAAAACAATGAGCAAATATTCACTATAGTATTTGATTCCAGCATGTTAACATAATAGCTGCTATTTCGTTTAAAAATGCGCCTTCTGAATAATTTCTGAATATAAAACTTTTTATCTGACTGCTCTGCAAGATATGCATGTACGCACATAAGGAGCTGATCTTGTTTTCTATTGTTGTTCATATCTTGGTAAATGTATATCTATGCATTACACGGATGAATATTGAATCATTTTCCATTGAGATAAGGTGTTTCTTTTTTCATTACTAATATTGATTGTGACAGTGAAGAAGACTCAACAGAATAGGAAATTAGAATTTGTACAAGAAATATAGTTTGCTTAACATCAAGAATTGATGATCTATTGGCATCATATTAGTCTAACGAAAAGCAGAATATATCAACGATTTATTAGATAAGCGAACAATTTACAGCTTTCGTTTTTCTTAATAGAAATATATCTAAATGTGTTATAGTATTGTCTTTTAAATGGCTTTTTCTCTCTCAAATAAAATATGACTATCTTTTCAAATGATGATTATTTTTTAAAATTATTCATTTTTTTTCAAGTGGATATGATGGTCTTAGCTTGTTACGAACGGTTGAAAAATATGGTAGATATTTTCATTGTCACTCTATTGAAGTTAATTCTAAGCTTTTTTTCTATTAGATATTAATTTGGGTCGATGGTCACAAATGGCACCAATGCTAACTCCACGTTCAGGTACAATTATAGCATCGTTTTTTTCCCTAATATCTAAATAATTCAATATACATGTCTTTATTTAATTATTTCTTTTTTGTTAGGCGCTGGTTGTGCAACAGTTGATCGTTATATATTTGCTTGTGGTGGATTTGATGGAAAAATTCATTTATCGAGTGTAGAACGATATGATAGTCAAATAAATCAATGGACAAATGTGACAAGTATGTCTGTTCGACGATGTTATTGTGGTTCAGCATTTATTCGTGGTCGAATAGCTGTTATTTGGTGGTTATGATGGGACATCTTTACTTGATACAGTTGAAGTTTATGATAGTGATAAAGATGAATGGACAATCGAAAGTCAAATGTTAACACCAAGATGTGATTCAGATTTTGCTTGTGTCGTATTATCTATTTTTTTTGCACTTGTGATGTCTATTTTGATACGATAACTCACTATTTCCTATCGACTCTTCTTCTTTTTTGTATTTCTCCTAATGACAGGGTCAAGAGAAAGAGAAGAATCAAGCTCCTTAACGTAAAATCGTAGTCCTGCTAATGATTTCTTCTTAGATATATCTATACATACGTACAAAGAAAACACTTGTGAATAAATAGAGAAGCATAATAAAATTGATATAGTTTGTATTTATGAATATTCGATTTTGAAATTGATGATGATCAAATTTCGTTTAGTAAACTTATAAAATCCATTTTGACATTGAATATAAGAAGAGAGGCAACTCAATGGTCTTATTGAACAATTATTCTATTGTTAATCGTATGTATGTATGAAAGAAAAGACTTTCAAGGAAAGAAAAAAGAATATCTTTATGATCGAACACTCTCTATTGAAATACTTATTCTTTGATTTCATATCAGAAAAGTATATTATCAATATTATTCAACAAAGTAACATATTATCAAAGACATCTCAATGGCGCTTTATTAGATGCTCTTGTAATCGAAGCTACACATATTAGAATCTCAATTTCCGGGTGATAGATAAGAATAATCTGAAGCATAAAGTTCTGATGAGTTGTGAGAAAATAAAAATTTTTTTGTTAGTAATTCTGAGATTGTAATATGATGACTGACGTAACATCCGAAGAAATATATATGTGTGTGTGTACACGCAAAAAAAAAATACGAGAAAGAATAAATTGACAACGACAGCAAAGAGGCCACTTCTCGATTGTTGGAATAAATTAATTTGATGGTTCTCTCTCTATTTTCTTTGTCAAACTAAAAGACAAAGAGAAGCGGCGTCTTATTACGCCATTTCCTTTCCCGTTATGAATTGATCATATATATATGTCGTGCCGAAGTTACACTTCTTGCCGAAGTTATAACTTCGACAAAATTTTTGCCGAAGTTACAACTTCGACGGACGATGTTGTCGAAGTTATAACTTCGACGATTATTCTTGCCGAAGTTATAACTTCGTCAATGTATTTTGTCGAAGTTTAACTTCGACAAACATATTTTGTCGAAGTTAGTGTGAATGATAAAATAAATATCAACTTTCAAGAAATCAACAATATCTTTCATGTTGTATCTTAAAAATTATTTTTTTCCATCAAAACAATAATACAAAATTTATTTTTCAATATTATGACAAA